TTTGCTACCAGGCCATCAGAGCTCCCTATGCAACATATAGTATCTAAAAACTCGCTCAGGGTCAGCTATGAATCCGTTCCAACTAGACAGCTATGAATATTAATGAGTATAAAAGCGGAGCCTACACATGTAATTTAAGTTATATCTACTTAGAAATTAAATTTTAGAAGCAAAATTAGTATAGCACATAATAGATAGCAAATATTGAGAAACTATTGTGAGTATTTTTAATTTTTCATGTTCTAAACCCTACCATGGATAGTTCTGATTCTCAAAAAGACTCTATTAACCCAAAGATCATACCTCTCTGGCAATTTTGCCAGGACCTCTGAGAAACATGGGTAATAGCTGGATGCCTACAGAAAGATGCTCCCTGAGATGAATGAGAATCCTAACCGTAACATGAAATAGGTATTACCACCACTATTTTATAACTAAAGTTTAGAGAATCGTATAGATCTTTTTCTACAGTAGTGTTCTTGTTAGCTGCCCTCACATCTGCCCTGATTCATGAAAATCTCACATACCATGAAAATGAACTGTTGTGATACACAGGGCTTTCATTGGCTTGTTTTTCATAAATAAACCTCCAAATCTTCCCTCCTAATCCATCTTCATTTAGAAGCTCTGCTGAAATCTGCTCAGTCTTACAGCAGTTCTAGAAACTCTACTCACATATGGTTGGTGATTGTACTTGAAAGTCTAACTAGGACCTCCCACTTGGAAGGCAGGCTTTCTATCACTGAACCATTAATACTCCTGCTGCAAACTGGTGATTGTTGTTGTTAGGTGCCATCAAGTCCACTATGGCCCAAGGTGACCCTATGAACAAATATAAATCTTCCCACATCCTGTCCCATCCTTACATTCTGTTATGCTCAAGGCCACTGTGGTAGTACCTGCATCCATCCATCTCACTGAAGGTGTTCTCTCTTTCACAGACCTTCTATCTTTCCCAATATGTCTCTCTACAGGTTGCTCCTGAAAAGATGCCCCAAGTAAATGAGAAGATATTTCACCATCCTAGTCTTTAAAGAGCAATCTGGCTGTACTTCCTCAAGACAAATCTGTTTCTTTGGCAGTCCAAACTGGAATGTTATTTTGAGGAATCTGAGGCACTATAAGTTTCTAAGCAGATAAATGACTTGGCTACAGTTTGCACTATCAAAAAATGTCTAGTATTTGTTATTTCATAGGTTAGTGTTCAAAGGGTTTGAAAAAGCCTTTTATTTGGGAAGCAGATGGCCCATTCTGCTTCCTAGTGTGTCTTAATCAGGGAGCTCCACCAAAACCAGTCCATTATGGGAAACCCTTTTGGAATTTGACACACCAATAGCAAAGATTTCAGTATCACAGCAAACTGTGATCTGACAGCAAATCAAGTACAGCAAACTGACAGACAAGTGGGGCACCACAACATTCTTCCTAAACATTATCAATAGAAACTATCCTGTGTTATGTAGATGACCACCTTATATGCTGAAAGTGAGGACGACTTGCAGCACTTGTTGCAGAAGATCAAGGAATGCAACCTTCAGTATGGATTGTGTCTCATTATCAAGAAAACAAAGATTCTTACCACTGAACCAATAGGCAATACCATGATGAATAGAAAAAAACAAAGATTCTTACCACTAAACCAATAAGCAGTGCCATTATGAAAGGAGAAGAAATTAAAACCATCAACAGCTTCATCTTGCTTGGATCCACAATTAATGCCCTTGGTACGAGCAGTCAGGAAATAAGGAGATGTACTGCACTGGGAAAATCTGCAGTTAGGGACCCTTCCAAATTACTGAGGAGTAGTGATGTCAGTTTGAGGACTATGGTGCGTCTGATTCAGGACATGGTCTTTCTGATTACTAGCTATGCATCTTAGACCTCGACAATGAATAAGAACTACCAAAAAAAAAAAAGAATTGATACCTTGTGTGTGTGTGTGCCGACAAATCAGATCTGACTGGTACAGAAGGAGACTGTCCCTCCTCCAGCAGAGCATCTGGTGGATTCAAACCATGCACCTCTGGGATTGCAGTGCAGCTTCTTGCCTCTAAGGCCACCAGAGCTCGCCAAGAATTGACACCTTTTAGCTGTGGTGTTGGAGAAGAGCACTGAACATCCCACAGATTGCTAAGAATACATATAAATATGTCTTGGAGAGGGTGCAGCGAGAGTGCTCTTTGGAGGCAAGAATGATGAAGCTTCGCCTCACATACTTTGGACCTACTGCTAGGAAGTGTTATTCCTTGGAGAGGAACATATGTTGGGATGGGTGAAGGGTCGGTGAAGGAAAGGAAGGCCCTCAACTACATGGATTGACAAGGTGACTGCTGCAATGGGCTCTTGTGTGAGGATGGTGCAGGACAGGACTAGGGTCAGATCTTTTCTTCATAAGAGTCGTACTGGACTTGATGGCACCTAACAAAAACAACAATTGTTAAGTGTTCTTGAATTGACAACTTGCAGCAACTCTGCAACAAAAGATTTGAAACTTGAGCTGTCCTACACCCACCTCACTGTCTCAGATATGCTTGAGCCCACTGTTATAGTCACTGTCTCAATCCATCTTGTTGAACTGTCTTCCTCTCTTTCTTTGACCCTTCACCTTTCCCAGCATGATGTCCCTCCCAAGGACTAGTCCCTCCTGATAACAGACTGAAAGTATATGAGATGAAGTTTCACCATCCTTATGTTTAAAGAGGACCCTGGTTGCACTTCCTCCAAAATAAGACTGGTTTGTTCTTTCTTTTTTTATTAATTTCAATGAACATTTACTGAGATTCTGGATTTCCATTCATTCACTGTTGCACTTTTCTCCCCGCCCACCCCTCCCCACCCCCAGTTTGCTCTTCTCTTTGAAAAGTAAAAGAAAAATTCCTTCATTGGTGTATAATTTCCCCCACCCCACCCCCTGGTTTGTTCTTTTGACAGTTCACAGGATATTAACTATTCCTCTACAACACCACAACTTAAAGGCATTAAATCTTCTTTCTTATTCACTGTCAAATTTTTAGATGCATAGGAAGAAACTGAAAATGCCAAAGCCTGCGTCAGGTGCACCTCAGTAGTAGACTCCTTTTTAATAAAAAAAGGACTTTTCAGGGTAACAACTACATGTCTTTCAAAAAGGATCTCTCATCACCCCTCTCCAGAGAGGAGATGAAAAAACGTAAAAAGCAGCACTTGATGCAAAGCCCTAATTCCTACTTCATGGATATGAAATATACAAGATGCTCCATTATCACTCTGATAATCTTAAGGAGGAAAAGTAAGGCTTTACAGAAATATGCTCCCCAAGATTGAAGTAGCATTAAAAGCAACCTGAATCAAAATGAGTGGGAAATCATCCCAATAAAACACTCTGGATCAAAACACACACCCACACCCAAAAGGAGACTCTCCTTTCATCTCTCTTTCTTCGTTCTTTCAGATTTGGTCATATAAAAATAGCACCTGGGCTACTCGATACTATGAAAAAAACTGAAAATGCCTCATCCCACACTGCCTGGAATTTCACTGGGATGAAACAAATACAAATTTATGGGAGGAGAATTATCAGATATTTACACTTCAATATGACTTAGTAATAGGCAGTATTCTATTTCATGCATAATTGAAAGTGCTGCTTCAAACTATCTTTATGGATTTGTTGCTGGGGATTTTTTGTTGTTGTTGCTGTTTTTTTAAGGATTTATTTTACAACATGAACACTCTATAGAGCCACTAGGGTTCCTTCCTAAAGGTTGTGATTGTGATCACTGGCAGTCAGGAACAAGTCAGAGTCGATCCTCCAGGGGGTTTTCAGAACCTATAAATCACATAGAATTAGATGGCCCATCTTTCTTCCATGGAACAGCTGGTAGATTTGAACCATATGCCTTTGTATTAGCAGTACAACTCCTTTACCAAAGCCAACAGAGCTCCCTTTCTTATAGGTAACTGTTATGTGCCAGCCAACTCATAGGTGATCAGTCAGTGGGTTTACACAGGCTGTCAATCATCACATGCAAATCTATAATAAAGGCCAATATGAGATATTCTACGTTAATCACTCATCGTGTTGTGTAGTTCATAGTGTGTACTGAGGGAGAGGGGTTCTCTATCACTTTTAACAATCAAGGAGGGGGAAAGATTTTGCCTTCTCAAAAGATTTAAAATAGTATTCTTTTTCTCAGAAAAAAAAATACTATTAATCATTTTTCAGAACTAATTCTGTCCAAAAGATTGACTACTCCCTCCATTTCTAAAACATTTGTATCCAATTTGACTTATTAGTTTGAAAAATTGTTGCTGCCTGTCTGATTCTAGCAGGAAATTTCCAGATGGAAAGGCAAAGGCATAGGTTTGGATATGTTAAGACAAAAATAAAACCACTCATTTAGTTCTTCCCTAGATTCTAAGAGCAAGAGAACCAGGTAAATTGCTTTTACACTTTTCTACCCCTCACAGTTTAAATGCCTCCTCTGAGGAACTCTTCTTTCTTAACGATTCCAACAGAACCTTTCCCATAAAGTTCCAGGTAGAGACAACCAAGCAACCTTTGTTAGATATCTAACATATTAAGTAGACACTGGAAATTGGGTTTTCTAAGGTAGATATTCAGATAAATAGACTGAAATCCTAAACACAAAATCAGCATGCCATTAATAACCCCAGGGTCTTGACAAAGCCCATAACCTTTCAAAGGAATCTTGAACTTCCTCCTCACTCCTTGTTACCCATTTTTCAAAGTCTTAGGAAATGCTAACACGTCCCCACCCTCTTGCCACTGATCCGATCCCCTAGCTTTGACTCTGTTCCTTGGGAGACAAACGCACACACATCCCTAGCAGCAGACATGCACTACACCGTAACAGTAATCATTTCCCTAAAAGTGACAAACCACGCCTAGCCTCGCCTCAACTTGCAGGAGAGAAAAAAAAGGGTAAGCGCTCACCAGTGGGCTGGGACCTCAGGTTTATGATTTACACTGAGTCCAAGCACAAGGCTGGCAGACGCACCTCCAGCGGTACCAGTGAGGCCCGCGCAGCCATCAATGAGGCCGGCGCAGGGCGGACCCCGGGGCCACACACCCAGGCCCCGCCCCTTGCCCCGCCCCCAACAGCCTCGGCCCCGCCCCCAGCAACCTCAGCCCCGCTGCAGCGCCGCAGTCCCGGCGCGGGAGCCGCGAGCACCCGGGACCCCTTCCCACCGGCTGCCTCCCCCTCGCCGCACCACCCCTCGGCACGTACCTGCTTTGCACACTGGGGCGCTCGGGCTCCTTCTCTCCGGCGAGCTACGGCTCTGCTCGGGGGACCTCCTCCGGTGCCGGATGCGGGCGGGGGGTGGGGCCGTGCTCACCTCACCCGTCCACAGGTGGGTGGGCGACGAGGAGGGCGACGACACGGGGCCCAGCAGCGGTGGCGGCGGCGGCGGCCGTGGGGGGCTCCCGCGAGCC